AGTTATAAAATATCAAAGGAAAGATTACTTTCATAATTTTTTCAAGTTCAAAATATGGTTATAATCTCCAGTATAATACACTGCTCAGAGAAATTGTGAAAACTTATACTTCAAAAGTTGCTATACTTTAGAGATGTTTCATGACCGAGTTGGTTTTAAAATTATTTTTTATTTAATTTTACACAAAATTATTCCTATTTTATTACATACTACTCTGAATTCATTGCATGCTTATTTATTTGGCAAAATTACTTAAAGTTAATTTTAGATAAACACATTTCAAAATCTTCATGTGAAAAGAATGCACATTATTATTATTATTTGATGTATCACACCAAAGTAGGGTATATGATGTATCACACCAAAATAGGTATTTGATGTATCACACCAAAATATTCTTTCACAGCTTCACAGAGCAACAGTTCTACTAAATTTTTTACTCACAGCCTGGAATAAGCTTGAGTCATTACAGTACTCATCAATACACATATAAAACCATATCTGAGAAATCTCAAACTAACCAGTAATTTGTCTTGTTTTTTTATCCAAAGCTAAATATTAAATACTCTTCTGTTTTGGGAACCGGATTCAGAAATGTATGTATCTACGGATATACAAGGTGTGTTTGAAAAGTTCGGTGAATTTTACCATAAAAAAAAGAAAAAAGAGAAAAAAGCAAAATAGCTTTACTGGCCTTCAAAGTATTTGCCATTAACAATAATAGACTTTTGACATCGGGTGTATAATTGTTGGAAACTGTCTGCAAACGCTTCTTTCGGTACGGCTCGAAGCACCGTTGCCACACGTTGTTGGATCTCAGTAATGTCGGAAAAGTGTTGGCCTTTCAGAACTCCTTTGAGGAAACAGGAAGAATTCCGCGGGAGCCAGATCTGGAGAATATGGAGAGTCATCCAAAACTGGAACCTGGTTTCCGTCTGTAAAACGTTTAAACCACTTATAAACACACTTTTTACTCACTGCTTCCTGACCGTAAACTTTCACTAACATGCCATGTGTCTCTGTTGCCGTTTTGCCTAACCTGAAGCAAAACTTTATGTTTATGCATTGCTCCATGTCACACTGACAATCTTTCTCACACTGACCGTGTTAAACTGCTCATAGCATGCGCTTCCTCTTATCTGTCGTAAAATGACTCTAGATGACATTTCTCTCACTGCGTCTGCGCGAGTGCAAGATCCTAACCGGCACGGTTTTTTAATTATGAGACCAATCACCGAACTTTTCGAACACACCTTGTATGTATGTATGGGGATATATATATTGTTACGAAATGTACGGTGAGATAGCTTCCCAGCAAAGCAGTTTTAGAGTTCACATAAAATGGCAAGGGAAGGCAGGGTTGCCACATTTGGCGAGAAATCGCACATTTGGCGACAAAATTGGTGATACACCATAAACGTGATATACCATAGACAGATGGAGAACCTTCTGGAACGAATTCTTAGCGGTTTAGCCCAGAATGTTCTCGAACACAAGCCGAAAGCTATAGAAACCCTGCTGGTCCGCAGTCAGTCAGTGTGTGTGTGTGTGTCTCGTCTAGCGAGTCAGTCCCTGCGGAGTGGATCAAGTTGACAGCCGGGCAGCGAGTGCCGACTGGGTCGTCGAGTGCACCGCAAGAGTCTCGTAGTATATCACGGTTAGTGCATCGTCGAGAGAGCGTGTTGAGCTCCAGGAACGACTGAACCAAAGAGTCGGGAGCTGTGCTCGTGTGTCGCCGAGTGCATCGCGAGTTGTAGCATGGAGAGTCTTGAGAGTACGTGAAGTTCCGAGAACGACCGAGCAGAGTCGGGAGCATTGCGGTGAAACTGTCTCCACCATTATTGCCTGACAGTGTGAAGGCTGTGCTGCTGATCGTGTCAGCGTGTTTATAGTAGTTCATCGACAATTGTAAAAACGTGACTCTGGAGCTGTCCTGATCAGTATTGGCTAAATAAAGTGTGTTTCGATACTTCATCAAGTGTCGTCGTTACTCACTCCAAATCTACAAACCCCGTACGAATGTGAAGGAAGAAAATAACGTAACAACTGGTGTCAGAAGTAAAAAAAAAAAACGCAACAATATATATATATGCACAAACACATGTGCATACATACACATGCACTTATATACATGAAATGCTTATCTACATGCAATGTATACGAACGTATATACATGAACACATACATACATACATCCATACACACACGCATACATACATTTCTAAAACCGGTCCCGATAACAAAAAAGTACCAAATACTACTATATGTATTCTACTGTGTTAGCACATTCACTGCCAATAACTCCACTTCGTATGCCCTGCGACATTGGTCGACTATCATAAGTTACACGCTTTATTTTCAGTGTGACAAGAAAAGCTGAATGAAAGGTTGTTTATGCACATCAGAGAAGCATTACTGTTTTTTACATGCATGGTTTTCCAAATTTTGCGTTTGAGTTATTTTACTTGCATTTTTTAAAAATGGCAGATGGTACAAGTATGGCAGGCCTTTCACAGCCCAACAAATAGGAAAATAAATAAAAAATTGACTGACGCCAAAATATTACAGTTAGAAAAGATTGACCTTTTTTATCACGACAGCAAAGACTACAATTGAGATTCTTCGAGATAATAGGAAGGAGATAATGATATTGCAATGGACATCACAGAAACGTCAGATTCTGAGACGGAAAACAACAATGCTCCTCAACAATTACTGACAGTGACTGCCCAGAAAAACCAGGATATTTCTTGAACTGCTATAAAACATACCATAAGTGATAATGTAGTAATGCAATACTGTTTTCTACAAAAATGACATTCCATTTGCAAAATGATTATAATTTATTCTTCCCTACTACATCGATTATATATTATATATTATAATCTTTAGAGATGAGCATTCAACATCTCAGTGTATGTCTTTTTTATAATTTTTATTTTGCTTCAACACTTGCCAATATCTGTATCTTGTGCTTGTTATTTGAAAAGATTTTCTATATTTTTCTATAAATGTGAAATCTTAATGTCTAATTATACATTTTAGTTCTTTTACGCAGCTTTATGCAATATATGTCAATAATTTCTTAGAATACTGATTAGATACCCTACAATGTCAGTGGCACAAGAGTAACAGATTGAACGTGATGTGTTGCTGATGCTCTAAAGCGGTGGGAAAAAAAAAAAATTCACATTAAACATGAAAATGTTTTCTTCATTTTTCTGGTGTTACTTCTAAAATAAAAGTAACAATTTAACCAAGGATCATTTAAAAAATATAAGGAACATTTAAAACACTATTTTGTAATCTAGCTTCTGAGGATGGAAATATCATTTTTACTGGCAGCGAATGTGTTAAAAATATGATTACCTTCAGATTCCAGTACTCACATTTGAACTGCAATAGATCTATCAGTAAATAAATATATACAAAGAGAAATATATATATAAAGTTCAAAATCGCCTATAAAGAAAAGTTTAAAATCTAAAATCATCTTTAACCAACTGATGAAGTAAAACATGTTATGCTTGCATTCATGTACAGATTTTTAGATAAACAGTACATTAAAATTATGATTATCAGATAAGTAGCATTTCAGTATATAAATGACCATAAGGCTTATAGAAACTCACTGTCTATACAACCACTTGATAACAGTCATCTACGAGGACTTGTAAACACAATTTCCAAAATAGTAAATAGCCTTCTAGCAAACACAAGAAACATTCATTTATATTCATATTTATGCTATTAACTTTTGAGATAATTATGTATAGGATTGCAGGTACAAATATTTTTAATAAATTTAGCTCAATTTATTACTGAATGATTTTTCAAGCACAGACCGCAGGCCTCAGTAACTTGAGGGGGAAAACAATGAAATGGATTGCGTTCATATAGAGAGAGGAGATTTCAGAATAAAATAACTGTTTCGCAAATTCTGATCAGTAACCTGTGTAGAACTTTAACAGCTTTAAAAGGTTTTGCAGTGAGTATGATCCAACATATATATATATATATATGATCCAACATAGCAACTGAATGAGTTCATTGCATTGGGATTTTCTTCATAAAGTAAATACAAACCACTTTTCTTTAGAAAGACTTGAAGCACCTACCCTTTTAAACAGATTTCTTCCTCAAGGAAAACTCTAGAAAAGCATAAAGTACCTTTCTTGGGGGGGGGGAAGCTCAGAATCACCCACTGGCATGAAATGCAGAATCGCCCACTTATTTGGCACATTATGATTGGCACTTCTTAATTTGACTTTTTAAGTGAAAATACATCGATTTGTACAATCATCCACTGCTTGGCGCATTTTTAAGAACTGCACAAACTCGGTATTTTCATTTAAAAAAACATTAGAGAATTGCACAAATTCGGCATTAAGCACTCCCTGTAGGCTGAAATTTTCTAATTACTTCATAAAGATAAAAGAGCATATTTAATTCTGATCACAAGTAAAACTATTCGGCTTTAAATTATACATAAACCAATTATAAACACGTAACATATATTCCGTTTTAACAAGGGAACCAATCAACCTGAATGTAACCATGCAAAACTGATAAAATTGAACAGAGTGCCGTCAACTACGCGACTGATATTACCGTGCAACAGTGAATAATAGGCGGAAACTTCTAACCAAAACAAAACTTTTGATTGAAATCGAAATTTTTATTGACCGCTCTGGGTGAATTTAATAATACTTGAAACACGTGCTTTCACAAGTCAAAAACAATACAGATGTGAAAGTTCAAAAGCATCATTTATTTTCCACTCAAAACATAAGCTGTCAAATATGCTGGAAATTCGAGATTGTAACCACAATTTATTGCAAAAGATAGCCTCTATCAAAAATAAAAAAAGAAAAGAAAAAATAAGGAAGAAGAAATGGGCAGATCAAAACTTGAACACTTGTGATTCAAGACGAGTGTGTGTGAATCTCACCGGTAACAGAAATTTTCACTACAATAATTTGCCAGCATGCATGCCTTACCTTTTTCCATGAGTGATACTGATAATTTTTTTCAATATGGATCTAATAAATAAAATAAAAATGTACACAACATATTACATTTAAATCCCAAAACCCAAACAGAAAATTATTTCCCACTAAATTCCTACGATTCCATCTTCGCTGCCATATTCAGTACATAAATGGAGTAAATAATTTCAGTATTTCTCTGTGCAATTCCAAAACTGCGTTAGAAAACGAGACAACTTGAGTCAGAAGGAAAACCTCCGGCAATATTAAGCCTTACGCAATATGATGTCATTATGTGGCACATACAAAACAGTTATTATTGCAATACTTGGACTTTTTAGAAGCCAATTTACATCCATGACTTCTCCGGGATTCGAACCCGGGCCTTTCGATACGGCAGTAAGGGTCACGAAGCACTTTCTGGCTTGGCGAAGTCGGTTAACTCATGTATCAAGGAATCACAGTCTGAGCTATGGTTAGCACATTCTGTTTTCTACATTGGTGATTTATGGAACCTGGCACATGATACAGAGTTATTTGTAACGAGCCTTGTCATCGGTTATGAAGAATCATGTGTCTTTCAAAGGAGCATAGACAATGTTTGTTTAATTTCTTGTACTCGTTTTACAGGTTGTCATCCTAATGTGCATGAGGGGAAACTTCCTTTTCATTTCAAGTGCTTCAAATGGATTCGTAAATATAAGCAACACAATAAAGAAAGCACAGTAAGTATGTAACAAAGCTTTAGATTAAATGTATCATTTAAATTAAAGTGCTCGTTTATCCAACATTAATTTCGTCTAAATCATTAATTTTTGCAATAAAATGTGGTAATTTGGTAATATTTAGCAATATGTATGCAGAAAGAATTTGTTTGAATTTTTCCTCAATTACATAATAAAATATAAAATAAATACGCTGAAGCACTTATAAAAAATTATTTTATTCAAATTGCACAAAGAATCCTATGAAGATGATAAATAAATTAATAATCCGCTCTGTATTTCAGTACATATGTATTAGACTGCCATATAAAGATAAATTTTAAAGTTAACGATTTAAATTAATAAATATAAATATAAGTATTGTTCTGTCTCGTAAAACTAAATGCAATATTAAAATTTCAAATTACAAAGGAAACGGTAAATCAAAAGCGAATACTGTACATAAAATGAAATATTTTGATGAAAATAACCTGTATAATGTGTATAATGAATTTTTTTTTACTCTAAGATAGTTTATCTTCTACCTCAGGCTTTTTTTAATGCTATTGCTGGATTTAGACGTGTTGATTCAGACCCTCAGAAATAGGCTGGCAACATGGCATTTTTCATGGTTTTCCTATGCATGACATGATTATGGGCCAGATTATCTGAGAAAAGGCTCCTATAAATGAACCTCTTTGTACATGGCCTTTTAAAGATAGCCTTTGTGTGATTTGCAATAGCTCAGTCCAGTGTAATCTAATAAGTGTTATGAAACATTCACAAAGTTATTGCAAAAAATACATTCGTATTTGACTGCTGGAAACCTTATTTACAAACTAATCACTCTCAATTTTCCAGATCATTTTATTCGCTTAATAGCCTCTTTTCTCAGCAACAGAACATTCATAATCAAAATCGGTACTGCTTACTCTAACCACCAGAGTAATCAATGCCTGGTGTCCCACAGGGGTCGGCACTTTTGCCGTACCTTTTTTAATATTTATACACAAGACATCGCTAAAGACCCTTCTGTTCATCTTGCACTCTTTGCCGATGACACCGCCATACTTACTAAAGCCTGCCACAGTTATCGCCGTAAGAAACCAACTCCAAGCTTCTCACAAACTGGAAAAATGGCTTACCCTTTGGAAGGTTTAAAATTAACACAGATAAAATAAGGCAATAATTTTCCGGAAAGGAAACATGAAATACATACCCCCCCCCCCCCCCCCCCATCCCCCCCCCCCCCCCCCCCCCCCCCCCCCCCCCCCCCCCCCCCCCCCCCCCCCCCCCCCCCACCCCCCCCCCCCCCCCCCCCCCCCCCCCCCCCCCCCCCCCCCCCCCCCCCCCCCCCCCCCCCCCCCCCCCCCCCCCCCCCCCCCCACCCCCCCCCCCCCCCCCCCCCCCCCCCCCCCCCCCCCCCCCCCCCCCCCCCCCCCCCACCCCCCCCCCCCCCCCCCCATACCCCCACCCCCACCCCCCCCCCCCCCCCCCCCCCCCCCCCCCCCCCCCCCCCCCCCCCCCCCCCCACCCCCTGATTAATGAGAATGGATTAATGAAACCAATTACCTTGGAGTCACCCTTGACCAAAAACTTACCTTCAGAACCCATTTCCGGTCCGTAGTACAAAAATTTAAAATCACCACAGCTACTATGCGACCTCTTCTTGGTAGAAAAAGCAACTTATCTACTACAAACAAATTAATTCTATATCGCTCCATACTGCGCCCAGCTCTTCTTTATGCAGCACCGATCTGGGGACATGCAGCTAAAACCAATATTAAACAATTACAAATTCTACAAAATAAAATTCTACGAGAAATTATCAATGCTCCTTGGTATATTCCCAACATCTATATTCACAGAGACCTTCGAATCGAACTTATTCAAGAGTATATTAAAACGATTAGCGGTCAACTTCTTTTATTCAGTACAAACCCAGTAATAGCCTTATTAGCACCCTCAGACACTCCCCGCGTCCCAGAGAAAAACATCGTTATCCTTGTGATATCCTTCCCACATAAGATTCACAACCTTAATTGAATCATTCACGCAAAACTGACTCTGCGGTTTTACCCCCCGCGGCTACATCTTATAACGACACAGAACTTGACACTCCCCTTTTTTCGTCGCCGCTAGTGAGGACCTCACTCTCTTTCATCCGCTCCCACACTCCTTTCACCCTTCTCTTTCTCCCCCCACCCGATCTTTATCAGAAGTCGAGTAAAAAGATGTTTCTACATCTTGACACTCGAGAATAAAATACGATCTGTGTGTGACTGCTGGAAAAGATGGAGGCCGGTAAAAGAAGAGATGAAAGCTAAACAGCCGGTCACAAAAGTATTCGAACACCGGTACCCAATCAGAAAATTCATTAATTGCAAAAAATTTAAATGGAACCTTGAATGTTTTCCATTTTGATCTAAAACCAATCGTGACAACATTAAGCGAATCTTCGAAAATAAATTAACTATCTATAATACTTCTCCTTGAAAGATGAAGCTTGGAAAAGCGAAATAAACTCTCTGTGATAATATCTCTGTTTGAAAAGAATGGTGGAAATCTTGGAAAAGTGAGAATGAACTCTCTATAATATCTCTTTTTGGAAAACACATTAAGCGAATCTTGGAAAAGCGAAATGATTGGAAAACACATTAAGCGAATCTTCGAAAAGCGAAAATGAACTCTCTATAATACATCTCTGTTTTTGGAAAACACATTTAGCGAATCTTGGAAAAGCGAAATGAACTCTCTGTAACACCCTTCTCTTTTTTGGAAGAAGAATGATGCGAATCTTGGAAAAGGACTTTGGAAAGATATTTTTCTTTGAACGTTACGAGAAATTATTACTCTTTTCCAAGATTGGTATACATAATTTTTTTATTATTATTACACAATTTACATAAAGAATTATAGTTTTTTATGACACTTCTGATAATAGTTCTGAAATACAATCCCACAACAATTGATCGTCATTTGAGGTCAATTTTTCCAAACCATAAATCTCCATCATCATTAAGATTTTTTTTGTTAAACAATCCAGGTCCATAAAATCGTCCCATACACGAAGAGTTGGGGAAGGTTCCATGAAATGATCTTCTGGATGAGTTTGGGGAGAGTCCATGCAATGCTTTCTTGGATTCGTTTGCGAAAGAGGTTACATGAAATGATCTTCTGGATTAGTTTGGGGAGGTTCCATGCAAAGCTTTCCTGGATCCGTTTGCAAAGGAGGTTCTATCAAGTAATCTTCTGTATGAGTTGGGGGCGGTTCCATGGAGTGCTTTCCTGGATCCGTTTGCAATTGGGCTGTTATCGAATGATTTTCTGGATGAGGTATTGAAGAGTCCATGCAATGCCTTCTTGGATCCGTTTGCGAAAGAGGTTCCACGAAATGAGTTTCTGGATGAGTTTGGGGGCTCGACAGGTAATGTATTAACATCTCCTTGCCACGACGATGAAGGTTTTTTTCTAAATATACATCATCATCATCAATAGTAATTACTTCCACTTCTTCATGGTTGATCATCTTACACATTTCCTTTTCCGCTTTCTGTAAAACATTTGCCATTCTCGCTTTGTATATTTCCTCGTCATTATTGAGAAGAAACTTTCGAAATTCATTTTCCCTTCTTTTTTTATTCATCCAGCTCATCATATCTGATGAGCGATGTATCTCATCATATCTGATCATTCGAAAAGAAATCTTTTGATAAACCAGTGCTAACACGCTCACATATTAAAAAGAAAAGAAATGTCGTTGTTGGGCTCATTCTCTAAAAAACATTTAAGAGTCGTGGGAAACGTTATATCATGACCTCTAGGTACACTTGTTTATTGACAGGCTGTTATTCAAAAAAATAAGTCTTGTAAATGTCACTCTATAAAGCCAATATTGTTTTATTAGAGGGGAAGTGAAGGAACCTGGAAATGTTCCAAAACGAGAGGTATATATATAAAAGGATTGGTCGCGTCAATTTTAACCCTTTTCCGAGCGAGCCATGCGTTATTATATTACGTTTTTTCGCGATACCGGAATTGAGATATATATCTCAAAATTCCGAGTCTATTTTCACATGTGGTCTATTATACATCTGATGATGATGTTGAACGATGGAAAATGTCGTCTAACGGAAATGCTTGACACCCTACAGGTCCAGTTGCCAAAGCTTTTGGAGTGGAAAGATATTTCCACAGAGGAGGAAGAGGAAGACGGAGTTCCAAAGATGCATATGGTTAAATTTACAACAAGTTTTATACGTGGCGCCGAAACTGAATACAAGCGTATATAATTTCATTATACATATCATCTATAATCCGCTACGAGAAGTCGGCAAGAATGAAGAAGGAGTGACAGTGCTCGAGATGAGTTTTGATCGATCCACCAAACATATCTTTTCAAAAGATATGGCGGAACTCTCTTTGTATAATATCTTGATGATC